CATGATACCTCCTTTAATTTCACACATAACTGGTTTTGCTCAGCTTGAAAATCTCACCCTGCACATGTTTCATGGACAAGTAAGCTATATAAGTAAATATTAATTACTATACAGAATGTGATTACCCTCAGCTTATACATCTTTCTTATGATGTGTCTGAATTTGCAGATGACAAGATTGCTGGAAAACACAGCGCCACTTAGGCATCTTAAGCAATTGGAGTTGTGCTTAGGGATAATCAAAGCTACAGGGAAGAGGAATTTCTCTCACACATGTACAACTATGATGCCGTGGGAATTTGAACTTGAGATCTATGGTCTGCAAGGCTAGACCCCGTTGGCTTCATTACCTAGTCTTTGTAGCCCAAGAAAATGAAAATGCCCAAACCGACATGTCGTTGCGTTTATAACAGCCTTCAAATCCAAACCCTAAAATTTTGCTCATAATAACTCAAAGTTTTCCCTTTCCTTGCAAAGCATCGCGTGTTTCGATATGGAATCGGATCAATCTCCAATGATGGCTTGTGTGTAAATGAGGTCTTGAGATTAAGGTAAATGAGGTCCTTTGGCGTCGGTTGAAAAGGTATTATGTTAGTCAATTAACGGTTGTTAATTTCTTTCTGCAATTGGTTAATTAGGGTTTAGGATTTAGGGTTTAGGGTTTAGGCATGGTGACCTAAGTAGTTTAATTAATTATTTAATGACAATTGGCGTAATGAAATGCCTGTACTTAATAGTATATTGGTTTTTTTATGCAGTAATAATCAACATGTACTTTAATTTAGTCATATGAAACTCACTCAGGGAGGAGCGTAGAGAAGAAAGCACTTTGCCACAGGCTGGTGAGAGGAAGAATGAGGATGCTCCTGGGAAAACTGGTGAGAGAGGAAGGAGGATGCTCTTGGGAAAACTCTCTATTCACCACCAGCTTCTCGATCTACAATGCGAAGATAGAATTCATTCAGGCAACTGAAGATGGTCCTGCCGCGTAAGTGTTCAACTTCACAGGCTTTGTATGGCTCCATTTTTATGTCCTCATCACTGAATTTTTTGTTACTCTTGGGTGTAAGTTTTTTGAGTGCTTAAGTAGTGAGAAATTTTGTTCTATTATTTGCTTTGATTTGGTTAGCATAGCGGGTAGGAGAATCAGAGATTTGTAAGGCTAGAGGCAAGAATGATTTCCAAAATTCATTATTATGTGTCGTTGATTATTCAAAATGTCATTGATGGTGCAAAAAAAAAAAAAAGAAGTAAAAAAATGGCTTTCTATAATTTATAATGTTGTCATGTTGTTTTTTCATTCTCACATATATCTTCACACAAATATAAAGTCGCTAAAAGATTACACCAATGGAAACCAACATAAAAATCGAAAAGACATCCCCATATACACTTATGACCACTTGTTTCCCTCTTTTCGGCCGGGTAGGCCGATGGAAGGAGTTTTTGGTCCTTCTTCTCTTGAGATGCGTAGGCGTGCCACCACCAAGCCACTTGATGGATTGGATGGAAAGATCGTGTGAGTGTGTTTGTGCTTCTGACTTTTAATCAAACGATTGATCGGCCAAGCAAGGAACCTCCTCTTGGCCTAGGTTCTTTTTCTTCCTTGAGGTCAAGGATGATTGAGAATTGTATGACTATTTTTAGGATTTTTGTGATAAGTGCAGTGAACGTAAATGCAATAAACGAAATGACAGAAATGTAAATGCGATAAAATAGATTAAAGCGATAAAGACTTGAATTAAACTTGAATGTAAAGACAATTGAAATTAAATTGCAAGAAAGTAAGCTTACACTAGGAAAACGAAGAACTTGGATAATCTGAAGAGCTTGAAAGATAAAATCCTAGACTATGAATTGAAAAGTACAGGATGAAAAGATAGATTTTGTGTGTTCAGTCGGAGGGTCCTCTTCTCTTCTTCTGATGAGCTATTTATAGAGATTTCCTCAGCTCATGGGTTTGGCCATACAACTAACTCTTTCTTGAAAATCCTCCCGATGTTAATGCCTTCCGGAGCTCTAGGCGCGAACTAACCGATGTCTTGGAAATCTTCCCAATATTAATGCTTTCCGGAGCTCTAGGAACGAACTACCCGATGTCTTGGAAATCCTCCCAATGTTAATGCTTTCCTGTCTTTAAACTCCGCCACTTGTAGGAAAACATCTGCTGGAAAACATCTGCCGGAAAACATCTGCTGGACCACATCTGCTGGAACACATCTGCTGGAAAACATCTGCTGGAACACATCTGCTAGAAAACATCTGCTGGACCACATCTACTGGAACTTCTGAACTTAGTTTCGTAGGCTGAGCTTTGGACTTGATTTGACATTTGGTGAGAAGTTGTGCACTTGGAGCTTCTGACTTGGTTAAGACTCCCACCAACGTTAAGTGGCATGTGAACTCCAAATATTTGGATGTCGGTCACGTGGGTTCCCCACTCAACCAGACCTCTTAGCCTTTTATCTGATATCGCATGAATGTTGGTCAAACGTTGGCAGCATATGGTATTAGGCTTTGATTAATTATATAACAAGACAATTGGATTCCAACCCCAAAGGACTTGCAACCCAATTTGCAAAGAGATCAAATACTCCAGCCGCAAGAATATTGCTCACAACCTTTTAATACCTACGCCAATTTGAACCAAGTTTGAGAATACCAAAGTAAACCCACGTGGTCCTCTCATGTCCAAACCATCTCTTCAGCCAAGACTTCCATTTTCCAGCCAACTCACTGACATGAGAAGCCAAGACCTTGACTTGGTTGCAGCCACTATTTAGCCATCTTTGCAGCCACTATTTGGCCACCTTTGCAGCCAACACTTTGCAGCCACTATTCCAAGCTTTCCCACGTGATTTGCTGCTTCCTTTGTCCAATTGTTAGTTAACAAAACACCACTTTCGGCTGCAACTTTGCATTCATTTTCTAATATATATATACTAGATCACACTTGGAAAGCCACACTCAAGCATGACCCAACAAATCTGCCCCAGCCTAAACAAAAACCCCATCCGCTCCATCTTGGAACTCCCAAGTCACAATACCCAGCCGTGACTTTTTCCTCATTAGAATAAAAAACCCAACCGCAACTTCCAGTGCAACCCGGCCACGGAAACTCCAAGATTTCAGCTGCAACCTCTTCGCAAGTTCCAAATTCAGTTGTGATTTTCAACAGACCCAAACACCACTATACTTTTCTTCTTTGTGCTGACTTGAAACTGTGTTTTGGAGTTGTGATCAAAGTTTATTTTCTTATTTTGAATTTGATAGAACACCATCATCCAAATCCAAAACAAATTAGTGTACTCTATTGGACTTTTTGGTTCATAATCATGCCGTGTATTCTTCCAAATAATTCTTCTTTTTTGGTTTTGGATGGAGAGAGGCTGGGAAATAGTCTAAACAGGTTAGATAGATTGATTCTAATATTTTTTGCTTACAAGGGGAATGAATTTAAAGGGAACTACAAGCTGAGGGACCATTTGGGATTTCTCATGTTCTAATCAAATTCTTGGCTAGGCTTTGACAAAATTGGAATTGAGCATGGCCCAACAACACACATTAGTGATTCATACGAAATTAATTAGCACAACACTTTATGGAAAAATTATTAAATAAATAATACTTTAATGGGTTGGGTTGGGTTGGTTTTAGTCCCAATTCATAACCTAACTCAATATATAGCGGTTTTTTATTTCTTGGACCCAGGACCCGTTCATTATTAGGACAACCCAACTCAACCCAAACTTTTTGTGATCAGGTTGGTTGGTTCGGTCGGGTTAGGTTAACTCAAAATTAAGCTCAATTTTAAGTTTTGGTTCCAACTTGTAATCCAACATGTACATAGTGGTTTATCATTTTTTGAACCCAATACCCATTCATTTTTAGGCCACCCACTATAATCGAGTCGACAGATTCGATCGGGTTGACACGAAATTGTGCCCACCCTAACATATTATGTCCTCCACCGTTTACAACCAAATATCAGCTTTGCTTGCAAGGATAATTTTTATAGAAATTTAGTTAAATACCCATTCCTAGACATAAAACTATAAAAATACCCTATACTATTTAATGTATATAAACACACCCAAAATAAACCCAAAAATCAACAGATGTATATTTTTTAATTTAATTATTAAGATGAAATTCCTTTATTACCCTTTTAACATAAAATTGGAATTCTAATCAACACCATATCAGAACTCATTTCACGACCTCCAGTCTCTCATCTTCATCTTCAACCCCAATTTTCAGTTTTTGTTCTTCCACCTTAGTTTTCGTTCAACCTCATCATTCTAAGCTTCGTCGGAGACAATGATGCGCTGGAGAGGGCCTTTTCTCCGTTCAGTGAGATCATCGAATAGAAGGGCTATTTGACGCATGTTCTCTCTCTACTACTTGATCTTCTCTTTCTCTATGTTACTTGATCTTTCTCTGCCAAAGATTGAAGATTGATCGATTCCTTTTCATTTTTGTTTATTATTGTGTATTTGTTTGATTATACTCCGACATTTTGGTTTTGATGGACGGATCTGATTTGATTTGGTTTCTTTTTGTGTTTCCAGATCATCAACGACCGTGAGATCGGGAGGTCCAGGGGCTTCGGCTTCGTCACCTTCAGCAACGAGAAGGCCATGAGGGATGCGATCGAAGGCATGAACGACCAGAACCTTGGCGGTCGTAACACTGAGGCCTACATTATTCATTAAACTTCTAGTGGTGTACTACTGATTACGATTTGGGTTCCATTTTCATAAAAAAAGTTGCTGGATAATTGGACTTGGTTGACATGATATTCTGAGCCTAAGGTTGAGCCCTCTTTCAAGTTGTAGCATTTGAACTTAACTATCTTTGTGCTCTAATGTCTTGGTCATAGAATCCTGACTTCGTCGTATTTGCATTTCAGGATATTATATATATATGCCTTTCACCATCTTAGGTACATGTGGCTGTAGAGTTTGTACTAATGTTAGTTGAACTAAATGCTTGCTTATCAGTTGCAATTGGGAGCACTTATCGCGCAGAATCTGGATGGGAGTGAGACTTCTACTTTGGTTGTGGTCGTGGTATAATATGTTTCTTTCTATTTCATTGGTGTCATTCCTTGTTTCCCCTGTTTGTGCTTTAATAGCCACACTAGTCTTTTCTTATGGTTATAAATCTGATAGAAGAAGATGCAATAAATGAGAAATGATGCATACAAGTGTTGGCTGCTGCTTAAAAGTATTATTTATTATTGTTCATGTGGTCTCCATGTCATATCTAATTCAGTCCATCACAGAATTGCAAATTCTGTTAAAACATCTGGGACTCTAAGGGAGAGACTGTTTCAAACTGCCTACAGTTCCAAGAAGCAATCCATAATGAGTGGTAATATACACTAATAACTTCACCTTCTCATAGACTATTACTTAATTCATGCTGTTGTTAAATTTCTCTATGTTAAACAATTATTTCAGGTTCGAATGGATCGCCAATATGGGACAGATTGGTGTTCAACAAAATAAAGGAAAAGCTTGGAGGACGAGTTCGTTTTATGGGATTCGGTGCTCCACCCTTGTCCCCTGATGTCATGGACTTCCTTAGAGTGTAAGTTGGCTATATCTTATAGAATGCAATTTAATAATTTGTTCATTTTTTTTTCTCAAGTGTTAAGGCCAATGAAATTTTTGCTGCATATGTAACGAAAATCGTAGGTGCTTTAGCTGTCAAGTAATTGAAGGATATGGTATGACAGAGACTTCTTGTGCCATAAGCATGATGGATGAGGGTGACAACTTATCTGACCACGTCGGGTCCCCTAATCCTGCCTATTGTGAGTTTACCAGACTTATCATACACAAATGTATATAAGAATTTGCTGTTAGATAGCATATTATCTGATTCTAAGTGTCACATTTCAGATTCTTCAATGTTTATGGTATGTGGAGTGATGAAGGATCAATTATTTATGCAAATGAAATGATTTAATTGATTTTGAGTGGTATGAAGTTGTACACTTTTATCGTACCGATTATGTAAATGAAATGATGTAGTTGTTAACTTCCAGTGACTGGTATGAACAGTATAACAACAGTTCATATCTTGCAACTGAGTTGATTTCTATGACATGGTATTAACAGTGTACTTCTATGACATAGTATTAACAGATTTTCAGTAACAAAGCATGCTCTATATTTTGCTCTATATATATGGTTGTGCACTTGAAGTTTATGATATGCAGAATGTGATTTCTACTAGGAAGATAGTTCTATGACATAGTATTAACAGTGTAATTTTTTTTTCTTGTAGAGGTATTTCCTTTTGCCTTTGCGATTGTATCTGGTGAAACTGTAGACAATTGGAGATGGTTTCTTCAAAGGATATCAGATGTCTTGCTGGGATTTTTTGGGTTTTTTTAAAATATAAAATGGTATTTATTTTTTATTTATTTTTTGTATGAAATGGTATTAACAATGGTTTTTTGTATGAAATTGTATTAACAATGTTCTGTTTGTATGAAATGGTATTAACAATGTCTTTTTGTATGAAATGGTATTAATAATGGTTTTTTTTTTGTATGAAATGGTATTAACAATGTTTTTTTTTTTTGGGTATGAAATGGTATTAACAATTTGTTTCTATGAAATGGTATTAACAATATGTTTCTATAAAATGGTATTAACACTGTACTTCTATGATATGGTATTAACACTATACTTCTATGACATGGTTTGCAGAGGTTCGATGGAGAAGGAAGAGTTGTGGGGACATGCCCTTGGTTTTCGTGTTTTTTTTTTTAATACTTAAGTTTGGTTTTTTTTAAAAGTCTGAGTTGGGCTTGTTTTGGGTCTTTTTGTGATTTTTGTATTGGGCTTCTTTTAAGTTAGTTAGTGGCAGTCATGTAATTTATAAGAAATTCAACACTCATTTTGTATGTAGTAAATGATTTTTGGGTATGTTTCTAAAGTGCATTTCACGTAGGGTTTTTTTTTATAATTTCAACCCCTATTTTGGGTATATTACTAAAGCTCCCTAATTTTTAAGGGACCAAAGCTGCATTTCTCATCACTTTAGGCTTTCACCTGATTATGTGCAATCCGGTTCAATATAATTTCATAATCCGGTCTAATGGAATTTCATAATCCGATCCAATGTAATTTTGAGTAGAAATATGAATTCAATCCAATTAACTAACTAAACCCACCAAAGAGGCCCTAGGTCTCGTAGTCGGCATGCAAACATATCCCAAACCCGATGTTTAAAGGACTTGAAACAAATTATCCATACCCAAAAAATAGGACTAAAACAAATTCAAAATCTCCTAAACTCGCTAGGTAAGTCGGAAAATTTAATCCTGAACCCGATATGTAAAGGACTAAAACTAAAACTAAATCTCCTAAACTCACTAGGTTTGGTTGAGAGCAGGCAAATATAAAATCCTAAACCAAATAGGCAAAGGACCATAAAAAGCCTTGAATCAAGTTCCAAAATCGTAAGTGTTCCGCTCATAACTCAAAATTTCCCAATTTTCTATTTCTAGCAAACCATCGTACGTGACCTTTTTCTTTTTCAAATCGATCAATCTCCAGTCAACAAGTATGACTGCTGCCACTGAAGATATTTTCACGAAGCTCGACCACCTTTCCTTGCTCTCCAAGGTAGTTTTAGAGCTCAAAACTCATACAGGGTTGGGGGACGTTGTTCTTGCAGAATTCATCACTGACTTGGGACGAAGCTGCGAGACTGTCGACGAGTTCAATTCCAAATTGCAGGAAAACGGTGCCCAGATGGCGGATTACTTTGTCTGTACACTCTTCACCATCATTCACGCAATCCGTCGTCCGAAGCCGCCGAAGCCAGAGAAGGTCTCGAAGAAAGATAGTGTCTTTGAGCCCGTGAAGTAAAATAGAAATTGCAGAGAAGTAGATGAAGAAGATAGACGTGGAGGCAGGAGGGATAGATATAGAGATAGTGAAAGAGATAGACATGAGACGCGTAGAAGTGATGAAGACAGGGAAAGAAGAAGGAAAGCGGATTTAGGCAATAAACGTAACAGAGATGGGTGTGAATTGTATACTGTTCACAAGGGTATGGTGGCTAGAGTGGTGGACAACGGTTGCTTTGTTCAATTGAATGATCAGGGAGGGAGAGGGTTTGGTTCTGTTGGAAAAATGGCTCACATTAAGTATGCAAGTGAAGGAGGAAGCGACCGGTCGCTGGGTATTTGCGACCGGTCGTTTTGAAGCAGATTCGAAGTCTGGAGGAGAAGCTGGAAATCGTGACCAGCGACCGGTCGCAAGGTGCAAGCGACCGGTCGCTTTCAGACAGATTGCAATGCGACCGGTCGACCGGTCGCCAGACGTGCTGTGTCGTTTTTCCATGCATTTTTCAAGGTGCATTTCACATGTGTTGGTTCCCTACCTAATCCCTCGAGCTTCCAAGAGTTTTATGGGTTCTAGGAAGTTTGGCAACGTGCCTTAGAAGCTGGAACACCATTTAAATGTTGTTTGTTGTCTTGTACCAAAGGGTTTTCTAGGTGGGAGACAAGGGGACAAAGGGTGCATGCTTTATGGCTTGTTTTCTGGTTTGCCTAGCCTTGTGTTTAGTTTGGTAGCTGAAAGCAAGAACGTGAAGGAGTAATTGCAGCCCTCTACTAAGTCCAAAGGTCTGCTTACAAAAGTAAACTAGATGCAAGACAACAAGTGTGTGGTTAAACTCAAAGTTGTCAAGTAGCTGGTAGCTATTGTGTTCAAAGGGAGGTTATCTCACCAAGGGAGGAAGAGAGAGAGGGCAATCAGTTCAAGAGAGAGCTGAGTTGGGTCTTGAGAGTTTAGACACCAAAGAAGGGAAACACCAAGTGTGAGAGAGTGTTCACAAGTG